AATCTAAAAAAAAAACGATGCCGGAGAACAAAGCAGAACTCAATACCTCACCGCGATTGATCTCTCGTTTTCGATTAAACGGCGAGAGCGGTAATATTGTTATGATATAACGCTATTTAAATAATATGAACGTAGAAATGTCTTCAAGTTGCCACGCTGAGAAAAACAAACTGTCGAGTCAAGAAAATATTTCTTGATTCAACTATATAATACTCGTAACACTCGTAATCGGAAGACGTAATATTTTTCGGACCGAATCCTGGCCGGACAGCCCGGCTCTCGTCCGCTCTTCACGGTTCAGCATTGACGACAATACCCAAAAACTACGTCGAAAGAGTGAAAAGTTCGAAAAGGTTTGAATGATGAACGATTCTTTTCTTTTCTGTTCTCGTCCCTCCTTGGCGCTTTTGTCACCTTGCACGTTGCATTTCTTTTCTAACGCGGCACGTGTTCATTCGCCGTCCTCCGTCCCCACCTTACCGTCGACGATTTACGTCGACGATTTACGTCCGATTCTTTCGTGTTACGAAAACCACTGCTCCGGTTACAGTCTCAACGCGGACTAGTTCGTTCATAGAAATTTCCGTGTTCTCAGTCCCATTTCGACGCGTGAACGTGCAGAGTCTCGGTGACTAGCGGCTCGAGCATTCATTCAGAGTTTACGGTGAGAGAATATATTAATTTCCACAAAAGCTACAACTTGATTGGCAACACATTTTGGACAGACACGGTAGTGTCTCGCGCCAAGTGTAAGCGCAGCTAGTACCGCGCGCGTGAGACCGACCGTGTAACCCAAGGAGAACAAAAAGTCAAAATAATGTCATGGTGACGTCAAGATGACGGGAAAATATCAGAGTTTGATCACTGAAACTTTATGACTTTAATATGACTATACAGTGACTCGCTATAAAATCATTATATAACGATATTTTGACTTACAGAATTTTAATTCAATATGCATATTTTCGAAAATATAATTTTTTTAGAGGAGATTACCTGGCACTTATTCATTGAAATTATCTTATATGTATATACAGGGTGATTCAGGAGGAAAAAGGTCAATATTTTGGGAGGTGATAGTATCGGTCATTTTGAGCAAAAATGTTCATATGAATATATGTCCTATTCCCCACTGTTTCCGAGATAGAGCTACTTGAATGTACCATTACAAAAGTACTGACAATAAAGAAATACTACGTACTATTTCTAATATTTATTGTTCAAGTGATTTTTTACAAATTATAATAAATTTTCAATGCATTTTTCAACTCTTGTGCGAACATGGCGTGTTGCTCGTCTGAGTACATCGTGACGTTCCTTTATGCGGGCACTAGCATTCATTATTTGAGCAGTTCGTCTCGTGTATTCACTTTTCTTCTGTAGACTTCACTTTTCATCCAACCCCATAAACAAAAATCCAACGGACTTAGGTCTAGAGACCAATTAATGGCACTGCCACGACCAATCCACCGATTAGAGAAAGTGGCGTTGAGAGAGAGAGAGAGAGAGAGAGAGAGAGAGAGAGAGAGAGAGAGAGAGAGAGAGAGAGAGATACCATAATTTGTTTTTTAATGATATATTATGTTTAAAAAACACTAATTTAATTCAATTCATTATCAATTCAATTCACTAATTAATACATTTTTTCAGAGAATATAAGAGAATTAACATTCCTTTTTCAACAATATGTGCCTGCGTGCGTGCGTGCGTACACACATTATTGAAAAAGGAATGCTAATTCTCTCATTTTCTCTGAAAAAATGTACTAATTCGTGTTTTTTAAAATATAATAAATCATTAAAAAACATTATTTTTAAGATAACCCTAAATACAAATATATTATTAATTTATATACTACGTAAAAAAAAAGTCACGAGATAAGTCAAGAAGACCTCATTTTAACGTCTTTATGACGTCACAAAACCGTATTTGCCAAGAACCATAATGACGTCATCATGACTGATACAACTATGACTTTTGAAAGATGTCAGTTTGACTTATGTGTTCTCCTTGGGTAAGTTTACGCGAGTACACGAGTTGACGGGCCCTCAGAATTTCGGATCTCAACAACGGCTGTTCCGACGAAGTTGAGACTGCGCTTAATTGATAGCTTGGGTACGATTTGCATAATAAAAGTATTTTTACTTTTCTCCTACGTGCCCCATGAGTAGAGATATTGCAATGCAAAGTCCACGAGTCTGAATTTTCACGTAATTTTTCTACGTCGTCATCGTGGTCGTCATCGTGGTCGTGGTCAACCAGCTGGCCAGCATCGGCAACGGGCGTCCGCGGGCGCCCAGCCGGCGGGCATGCCCCCACTCCAATCATCGCTCCACCACGTTTAAAACTATTTCCCAAGGAGAACAAAAAGTTAAAATGATGTCATGGTGACGTCAAGATGACGGGAAAATATCAGAGTTTGATCACTGAAACTTTATGACTTCAATATGACTATACAGTGACTCGCCATAAAATCATTATATGTATAATAATTGTTGCATCAAGGAATTATGCAATTGTTATTTTGCAAAATAACGCTATTAAAATTTAATATATTCAAGATTAAAAAGTTTTTTGAATACTAAATTTTTATTTCCAGGCTCTCCTACATCTTGGGCCCTGTAGCTGTGCATCCGTAGCACATGCCTAATTACGGCATTGAGTAGAGACCAAGGAACTAGAAGCGACATCTTACAACGGCTATAACTTTTAATTCAAGAGAAATAACATTAAGCAATAAAAAGAGAAAGTATTTTTAGCAACACGTGGGTCCGTCAGTCGTGGGTCTGAACTAGTCGAGAGTAGTGTTATTGAAGTGCCGCAAAATAACATCACGTAAGTATAGTTTTACGTATCAAGACTTTTTGGTTTTAAAGTTAGATTTTTCATGATGACCAAGATATAAAAGTTTGGTGTTACTTGTAGTAGTCTAAACTATTGATGCGAATAGTATTTTTGATACTATTTTAGCCAGTAAATAGCAAAACATATAAAAGGTCACCGACGTTACATCAGGGTACAAAGTTACGACAAAGTGGGGTAAGTTGTGACACCGTAAATGAAAAAAGGTACAGGAAAGGGTAAAGGCAAGAGTAAAGGAAAAATTAAAACGACAAAAAGAAAAGTTTTACAAGAAAAGGAAAGTGAAGAAAGTGTGGAATTTTACGGTCTAGTTCGTTATGAAACACTTTCAAATAACAAGCCACATAAAGATTAGATTCCTCAATGTTTGTTTTGCAAAGAGTGGGCCCATGATCGATGTATTAAAACAAACCAATTTTATTTTATTTGTCAAAATTGCCTCTCGGAGAAATCATCAAATTAGTTATAATTTTAAGTGCAATTTAATTTTCTTTGTTTATTTTTATGAAAATTTATTTTAATTTGTTGTTTTCTTTGCATACGAGAGAGCTTAAAAAATTAATTTAAAGTAAACTATTGATGATAATGATAATGTTATGTCAGTTACTATTATAGTAATTTAATTATAATGTTTTGTTCTGTATTTGGAAAAACCTTTGTTTTATGTTTCTCAATTTAAAAGACTGATAATTTAGTTGTTTGTGATTATCAGTCAAATAAACTTTTAATTTCGTAGAAATATGCGTTTCTTTCTATAAGTAACAACTTACTCCGAGGTTGTAACTTTAAGCCCCAAATCGGGACAAGAAGTGACAGTCTGTCTTTTTATGAAAAATCTTCCATAAAGTGAAAACTATTTTTTCAATATCGTTCGACGTAATCTGTTATAAATCTTAGATGTATTTCTCATATCACAGTATTAACAATTATAAAATATTGATGATATATGTATAAGAAGCTATGCCATGTTTTTCTAAAACTGTCACTTGTAGCCCCTTGCTCCCCTATACATATACTATATACAATTCATGTATTGTATACATACATACACATATGTATGTATACATACACATATGTATGTATACATACACATATGTATGTATACATACACATATGTATGTATACATACACATATAACACATGCAATAACATAATCTATGGTTACAGATAGTCATGTACAGATATTTCTGTCAACCGGTATTCAATAATTGTATAAATTATTATTTTTCCAGAGAACCTTGATAAAAATGAGGGAGTTCCTGCTTGTTCTAGCAGAGTTATTATTGCTTATCTTAAAAACTGTCTATTATATTTGCAAATTCACGTATAGATCGATCGTTCCAAAGAGGAAAAAGAGCGTAGCTGGTGAAATCGTTCTGGTACGTGTATAAAATTTTTAGTATAAACATAATTGTTATAAGAAAATATATTAAAAAGCACATCATTTTTGTTATAAAAATTAATGAAAATTATATTTCTTATACAAAAATATTTGTTATGCCATTTTAGTACCGTGTTATATTATATAATTATTTATGCATATTAAAATAATATTGAATTTTAAAAAATCAAAATTGTAAGAAGCGTCAATTACTTCATCAAATTTTTTTTAATTCTACTTTTTTAAATTTTACTTTAATCTTATAGATTACGATCAAATAATACAAACCTACTTTCTTAAATATTTCAAATTTTTCTGTTTATCTGATATATATATTTGTCACCTTATAATATAAGGGTGTTATGTAATACCCGCATCAACGCTTATTGTGGGATAGAGTGGACTAGACTAAGTCGAAAAGTCCTGTATCACTTTGCAGGTTTTGCAATAGTTAACGAGTTATTAATTAACAAGAGTGGTAATTATATATCGCCAGAAATTATAAACCAAAATTTCATAAGTTTTATCGACCTACACTGGCTATAGCGATTTTTGTTGACCGTATCAAGCTATTAAAATTATTATTACGAAAAATATTACCCCAGCCAGGATTCGAACCTGGGATCTCCCTACAATCCGTGACGGGCGTCTTAGCCAGCTCGACCACCGGGGCAGAGCCCGCCCCTAATGTAGGATGCTCGCGGAGACGTAAAACGCTCGATATCAAAAACGATATTAGCGGCAAATCGTATGGGACTTTAACGCATGTTGTCCCGCGAGATGTTTAGTTTATTGAGATATTATTATGATATTATTATTAACATAACCGTGTGCACTTTTACTATTACTTTTAACTTAATAATATAAAAATAATAAACTAAACATCTCACGGGGCAACGTGTATTGAAGTCCCATACGATTTGCCGCTAATATCGTCCTTGAGATCCGAGCGTCTTACGTCTCCGCGAGCAGCCTACATGCTTAAAATACGAGAGGAGTGGGGATTGCTGTAGACAAAATCCGTCGAAAAGCGTAATCCGGCCGCAGACCTGTTTTATCTCATCGATGACCTGGGGCTGGATTCTTGAATTCATTCGAAGGAGAAACGTATGCGAAAATCCTGCTCTGACAGAAAAGTTAAAAGCCATGCGAATAGCCAATCGACTTGCAACTTTTCTGTACGAGCAAAATTTTCGCATACGTTTCTCCTTCGAACGAATTCAAGAATCGAGCGCCAGACCTCAAGTTTCACGATACTGATAGACGAAACTATAGCATACTTAAATTTCAATTTTTTTCTACTTTTGGTCGGTTTATACAACAACTATTTAAAAAAATATAATGTCAATGTTATTTTAAACTTTAAAAATTTGAGAATTGTAATTTGTAAATAACTTAAACTATATTTTATATTACCACAGATAACAGGTGCAGGTCATGGTATCGGGAAGGAATTGGCGATTTGCTATGCGTCGTTGGGAGCAACAGTAGTATGTTGGGATATCAATGAAGAAACCAACAATGAAACGATGAACGATATTAAACAAATTGGAAAGAATTCTGTATATGCGTATCGGTAAGTTGCTGTTTTTTTTATAATGCTCCATGATATGAAAAAATTACTTGAATAGAATTTACATGTGCACAAATACCAATAAACGTCTATTCAATTACCAATATTGATTAAAATTTGGTCACGTTCTAGATGTAACGTAGCAGATAGGGAAGACGTTTTCCGGGTAGCCGAAAAAGTAAGAAAAGAAGTAGGTGACGTTACTATCTTGGTCAACAATGCCGGCATAGTATTTATTAAATCATTCTTCAATCAGAATCCCGATGAAATTGCACGAGTTATAGAAACCAACGTGACAGCGCATTATTGGGCATGTACCTTTCTCGGATATACATATACAGACATCAATACATACAGGGTGGTCTAAAAGTCCCGGAACGGTTGAATATCCCGAGAAATTGTGGGTGGATCGGAAAACGGAAAAATACGTATTTTTTAAAATGAATTCTCTATGAACTTACGTTCACCTTTGTGCTATCTGGGAAATATTTTATAAATGACGCATTTTCAACAAAAGTATTGGAAACAAAAGTTGTAGGGTTTTAAGTGACGCGTTACATTGCAACCCCTGTGGGTGGGGCGGGGGACAACTTTGGTATCATTCGATAGCTCTTTCAAAAATAGGAAATACGTATTTTTCCGTTTTCCGATCCACCCACAATTTCTCGGGATATTCAACCGTTCCGGGACTTTTAGACCACCCTGTATACATTTATGTTTATATACGCACATATATATATTCCTAGTAGCACAGTGCATTGGTTAAACATTGGCTAAACATTAGTCCAATGTTGGTTATATTAGAAATGCATTGGCCGATATTGTCCAACGTAAAGCCAATATTGGCCATGAAATAAATGTAAATATTGCACGATAATAATTATATAATATTAGATTTATATTGAAAGTGCATTGGCCGATTTTTAACAATGTAATAACAATATTGGTCTAATATTGCATCAATAGACATATTGGCTAAAGAAGAAAAGACGTAAATCTTACAATATTGCAATGTAACGCGTCACTTAAAACCCTACAACTTTTGTTTCCAATACTTTTGTTGAAAATGCGTCATTTATAAAATATTTCCCAGATAGCACAAAGGTGAACGTAAGTTCATAGAGAATTCATTTTAAAAAATATCTGCAGAATTAGAAAACTGAATGTCTAAAAAATTCTTGAAGAAAGAATCAGCCACAATCAGTTCGTCTTGAAGTACTTATTCGTTAGAAGTTCATTATGGTGCATGTAACTTCCCCAATAATTCTTATTGTATTCTATGAATTTCTGAAGAATTACAATTCAGAAAGGCAGAAAACTTGAAAAATACTTTGCGAATTCACTGTGCTATCTGGATTGAGTGGTACGGGTGGTTTGGGATACCCAGTACATAAGTTATCGCAAACCTCTATTTACGAAAGAATATTACTTTCAGACATTGAAAGCATTTTTACCAAGCATGGTAAAAAAAAACCACGGTCATATTGTGGCACTTTCATCAATAGCAGGACTTATTTGCGGACCTTATGGGACAGTTTACTGCCCAACAAAATTCGCAGTCAAAGGTAATATATCTCATATTCAACTATTGTAATATTACACGAATAATATATTGTCATATGGACAAACATAATTTATACAAATTAAATAAAAAAATACATACACACACACACACACACACATA